ATTAGGGATGTTAAAATTCAGACCCTTACAGAACAAGGGGAGAAGAGATTTCCGAAGTCATAGCACATCCGTGATGGAAAAAGCTGTGTCAGCACCTCCCTTTATGCAAAGTGAGTGTTCAGCTCTGACATCTTACAGATAAAATACTACCATAGCAGCACAGAAAGAGAGAGGTAGCAATGGAGTCCTAAACCATTAATGGCTTTATAGGCTGAGCTGTACTTAGAAATACTCAGTGACATATGGCACGCCACAGAATACAAGTGTCTCAGGATCTCAATAAAACTAATTTTCAACAAGCAGACATTTGTGTTCTGCAGCACCTTTAGTTTGTGCTGCTCTTGGTGAGCTGCTGGCAGGTTAGGGAGACTCTAGAACTAAACAAAGCTGATTTGAGAAAGTGCTGTTTTAATTTGACACAGTGATTTTAATTCCCCTTACAGAAGCAGTTCCACAATACAAACAATATCAATGGGATGAGTTAGCGAGGCCTTATTTTCGAAATCAATGTAGCAAAATTATAAAAGTGTAGAAAACTTTGAAATTTGAGAGTATCATCATATATTTGGCTTCCTTCAATTATAAAATGAGCCTTGGTTTAGCAATAATATAGGAATATATATTAATTTTAAAGAACACACAAATTAATAAAATCAACATAAGTCCTCTATTTAGTATGGTCTTTGTGTATGGTTTTATTAAGGCTAAGCTGGAAGAGCCATTTCTGAAATACAATAGGAAATTGTTCTTTGAAACGTAGCTTTTCCATTGTGTTGATGTTGTGTATCATGTTTAGGAGTAGTTCTAGACAATGCTGCTCTTATAAATGTCAGGAGAGATAAGTTGAAAACCATACCCCACCTCTAGTTGCTCAGCTTTGCTAAGCAGTCTGGAACACTGGTAAGACCAGGTAAGATCTCTGAGATTTTTGGAAGCATTCAGTCTGCTTTTAATCCCCGTCTTTACTTCAGGTGATCTATGAAGTGTAACACTGGAAACTTTCTTCCATATCATACTCGAAGAATGCAAGAGGTCATATTTAACTGTGGTAATATTCCTAAACTTTTTTTTTTTTAATCTCTTAGCGCTGGCCCCAAAGGTGATAACATCTACGAATGGAGATCAACCATTCTAGGACCTCCAGGTTCAGTCTATGAGGGAGGTGTTTTCTTCCTTGACATCACATTTACACCAGAATATCCTTTCAAGCCTCCAAAGGTAAGAGACCAAGACCTCTAGCTGACGTCTTAAGTCATGGATGCTCAACCATTGCATAGCAAGCAGTGTTAATGGAATGCAGCCCATTTGAAAGCCACACTCTTTAAAAACAAGCTTAAGCTCATTTCAGGCATTACATTGGCTTCTATTAGCTAATGTTAACAGCTTTTCCAGTCCTTTTGATCACTATTTTAAAGCTTGTTTTCTTTTTCCCTGCTTCTGTTTATAAGAGATCCTGAACAGTTAGTGCAAGCACCAGGACAGGACTGAGAAACCATAAAGTAAATAAACTTGGGGAGAGGAGAAAGGACAGAAAAAAGGTTTGTTTCGCAAACCACGCAGTTACCACAAGCACAACAGTTCTGTGTGTTTTGGCCGCTAAAGTAGTATTTAATTTTTCAGTTTTGTTGGTATTTGTGTTGTTCACCTACTTGTACAGTAACAAACTTTTTCTGGAGGTGTGTTATATTTGGGAAGCACTTATATTCCAGTGTTTTTGTGTTCCAATGCCACAAGGCAAATACCAGTGCAAGTGAATGTTATCTTGTGGTTCACATACTTGGCCAGAGGAAGAGTGTTGGGTTACAAGAAGAGGTGGTTGTGTATACACTTCATGTTTGCCTTGTATCTGACAGCATTTATGTGCATGTTTAACTTTCGACTTAGAAGTTGTTGCATCAGTGAGATAAATGCCGATGACTGCCCCATCTTCAGACTTTGGTCTAGTCTGCAGTAGAAAGGACTTGCCATAGTTCAGGCCATCAGTCCATCTCAACAGAGACAATGCTAATTGATCATACCAGACAAATTAATATAAACTTCCCAAATTAAGGAAACTGTTTGACTGTTCTTGCTAGCATAACTTCAGGATTTCTGGTAGTATCAACAGGACCTTAAACTCTACCCCTAAGCTAGGGCTCCAGTTCACAAGCAGCATGGGACATCTCTAGAGATTTACTGCTGATGCCTGTCCATCCCTTTTTTGGAGGTTCTCTGGCAGCACAGATGGTTCTCTTGTGTCTTGTGTTAGGGTTTAATTCAGTTCAGAATAGTTTTCATTATTTTGGTTTAATTAGTTGCATTGGATAATTTATTGTCCAACCAACTATATGCAATATCTTCTGTCATGAGCCCAGTAAGCGTTTAAAGAGGAAGCTATTACCTTCCCATGTGTGCTTTGCTACACTTTTGCTTTCTGTGCTGTAGGTCGGAAGCATTTATCATCCCAGGCTTATCCAGCCTGATGCCTTACAAAACCGGATCATAGCTACCAGTGGTATTGAGACAGCCCTATATGCCAAGTTCCCTGATGCAGAACCAAAGATACAGTTTTGTCATTCCAGCTCAGCTCTGCTTTCTGCTCTGTGCTTCTGACAGCGATCTCTTTGCCTTTATCTTTGGATCTAAACCCTCACCCAGATGAAGAGAAGGGTGAGATTAAAAAAAAAAAAACAGGCACCACTTAGTGAGGCCTTAAAAGACTAGGTTAGTGGAGATTCAGTTCATTGTAGCAGAGTTGCATTTAAATGGAGTCTTTCATCTAGCAGAGACCAAGTTGGCTTACAAACCACATACGTGTATGGAAATAAAATACATATAGCTTCAGTCACAGTGAGGTGGCATATAGGAGAAAGTGTAGCAGTGTTCTAATAGAACGTGCTTGTGCTACTTGGGTACTTCAGGTTTAAATAGGAACCATTTTTTTTGCTGAAAACCAAAGGCTCTTACAGCGGCTCCTGTGTTAACACCTACGCTAGTGTTAATCAATGATAATGTGGAAAACATAATTATCATATTGCTCCTGCTTTATTCCTACTAATTTGTTGTTTTCAGATTGCTCAACTGCTTGCAGTGACTGATAAATATTGTTTTTGGGTCATCTGGAAGTGGTAGGGCTAATGTGATTACCATAGCCTTCCCATATTTGTCTTTTAGGGCAAGAAATAAAGAAACAGCTATTTGAAACAAAACCCAGTGTATCATTTTGATGATAAGCACTAGGAGAGCAGAAGAGTGGTTGACGGTCATTTCGAAAGCCTTGAATTCTGAAAAGATTAAGCTTTCTGTAATGAAAGGACTAGTTTTCTTTGAATCTTCCTTGGTAAGCCTTGTTAAGACCAGTGGAAGAAAACCTCTACCACCTCTTTTTGTTCTCAGTAATTCTTACGAGGACAATCCCTGCTGTGGGCTGCCCTGTGGTGAAGTGCCTATAGTGGAACACATTTCATAACTTGAAAATGAAACATCATTAAAGGATTTACCTTCTTAAATAAAGTGAGGTGAAACTGGTCATCCGGGCAGGTTTCCAAGCCCTAAGGAATATGCATGAGAGAAGGTGTTGAGGCATAGCCAGTATTGACAAATGCTGCGGTGCTGGCGAGCATCCTAGAGATGTGCGATGAAGGATACACAGGTGCAGCCTTTGAGGACTGGGTCTAGCTCCAGCTGATGGTTTGATTCAGTATGTTTGTTGGAGCAAACTTTTAGGGGGAGGATGTTGCTATAGGAGAGCCAGAGGACTGTGCTGGAAGTGATATTAACAGATTCCTGGAAGGATATAAAGAGGGACTGCACTACTGTACTTGAGGCTGGAGAAATTAAAGGTCTCAAAATTTGACTTGGAAATGCATTGCACAGTACAAGGAACTTCAGTGGGAGAAATCTGATACAGGGACAGATACTCTCTCTCCTGTCCTAAATACGTATAATGGAGCTCTTTTGCATTTACTGAGCATTCCATACAACACTTTGAAGATGCTAGCATCAATCTGTTCTCTGCTTTTATGTTTTCTCATTTTGTGTGGTATTCTGGTTTTGCCTTTGTTTCAGATAGCAATTGAGTCAGGCACATGCTGGGTGGGCCTGGATTCAGAAGAATCCAGTAAACAAGTATAATTAGAATTTAAGAGTTCAGTACTTAGTCCTCAAGATGATTGCCATTCTTTTGTACTATTACAATGGATGTTTTCCCAAGAGTTATATTACAGTTGGGTTAGATTTCATTTATTGAGGTGAAAACAGTAGCTTGTGTTGACCTGGTGTGTGCTTTGATCATTTGTATTAATAACCTCTAACCACTTCCTTCCCCCCACTCCCATTTTGCTGCTTGTGTAAATTAACCTCTGCTATCACTTCAGGGTAAGGTTGAGATTAGCTTCTTTCATGTCATTTCAAAAGCTATGCTTAACTCTGTGTAGTTACTGCATTAATGTAATCTCAGGTGGGACATTTCCAAAGGATTGCTCAGTTACACTATATTTTTCTGCTGTTCCATATGCTGTTCTCTTGCTGGAGGCAAGTCCATGGTCAGAGCCACAGGCAAACTCCCTCCTTTCCCACCTCTTCCCCTCCAGGTGCCTCTGTACAACAGGTATGAGGCTCTGGATGTGGAAGGCCAGTTAATGGATGATGTGGATGATGGTCCATCTACAGCAGAGGTGTCACCAAGGTCAGAGAGGCCTACCCCCTGTATCACAACCACCTCCATGAGGAAGACAAGACAGGTTATAGTTGTAGGAGACTCCCTTCTGAGGGGAACAGAAGAGGATCTAATATGCCAGACAGACCCCCCATCTTAGGGAAGTCTGCTGTGTCTCTGGGGCCCGGGTTAAGAACATCACTAGGAAACTCCCTAGCTTGGTACAGCCCTTCGACGATTACCCATTACTTCTCATCCATGTGGCTGGTGATGAAGCCGCAACATGTGATCCAAGAGTGATAAAAAGACACTGTAGGGCCTTGGGAAGGTTGGTGAGGGCATCTGGAGCACAGGTTATTTTTTCCTCTCTCCTTCCAGTCGCGGGCAGCGATATTAGATGAAACAGATGGACCCAGTCTATACATGGCTGCGTGGCATGGTATTACTGCCACAGTTTTTGGCTTTTCAGTCATGGGATGGCCTACACGGCACCAGGCTTGGTGGCATCACATGGGATTCACCTTTCTGAAAGGGGGAAGAGGGTCTTTGCTCAGGAGCTTGTGGGGCTCATTGATAGAGCTTTAAACTAGGCTGGAAGGGGGAGGGGTATAATATCAGGCTTGCCTGTGACAAGCTGTGGGAGGACATGCCACGGTTAGAGGGATGGGGTGCTAGCGAGGGCCCTCAGCCTGCATGCTGGGTATACTGCAGCACACTTGAAGTTGGAGGACAGGGAGGTGATTTGAGACAGCCAGCATGGCTTCACAAAGGGCAAGTTCTGCCTGACCAACTTAGTGGCCTTCTATGATGGGGTGACTACATCAGTGGACAAGGGAAGAGCTACGGGTGTCATCTATCTGGACTTCTGTAAGGCCTTTGACACAGTCCCCCACAACATCCTTCCCTTTAAATTGGAGAGCTATGGATTTGATGGTGGTCCTCAGTGGGTGAGGAACTGGTTGGATGGTCTCATCCAGAAAGTAGTGGTCAATGGCTCCATGTCGAGATGGAGACTGGTGACAAATGGCATCCCTCGGGGATCTGCACTGGGGCCAGTGCTGTTTAATATCTTCATCAATGACAAAGGCGGTGGGATCGAGTGCAGCCTCAGCAAGTCTGCAGGTGACAACAAGCTGAGTGGTGCAGTTCACATACCTGAGGGGTGGGATGCCATCCAGAGGGACCTGGACAAGCTTGAGAAGTGGGCCTGTGTGAACCTCTTGAGGTTCAACAAGGCCAAGCTCGAGGTCCTGCACTGGGTCGAGGCAACCCCCAGTATCAGTACAGGCTGGGGATGAAGGGATCGAGAGCAGCCCTGCCAAGAAGGACTTGGGGGTACCAGTGGATGAAAAGTTGGACGTGACCCGGCAATGTGCTCTTGCAGCCCAGAAGGCCAACCATGTCCTGGGCTGCATTAAGAGAAGCATGGCCAGCAGGTCGAGGGAGGTGATTCTTCCCCTCTCTTCTGCTCTGGTAAGACCCCACCTGCAGTGCTGCTTTCAGCTCTGGAGCCCTCAGCATAAGAAAGACATGGACCTGCTCGAGCAGGTCCAGAGGAGGGACACAAAAGTGATGATCAGAGGACTGGAACACCTGTCCTGTGAGGAAGGGCTGAGAGAGTTGGGGTTGTTCAGCCTGGAGAAGAGAAGGCTCCAGGGAGACCTCTTATAAGCAGCCTTTCAGTACTTAAAGGGGGCTTGTAAGAAAGATGGGGGCAATCTTTTCAGCAGGGCTTGTGACAGGACAAGGAGTAATGGCTTTAAACTAAAAGAGGGAAGATTTAGACTAGATAGAAGGAAGAAACGTTTTACAAGGAGGGTGGTGAAACACTGGCACGGGCTGCCCAGAGAGGTGGTAGAAGCCCCGTTCCTGGAAACATTCAAGGCCAGGCTGGACGGGGCTCTGAGCAACCTGATCCAGCTGAAGATGTCCCTGCTCACTGCAGGGGGGTTGGGCTAGATGAGGTTTAAAGGTCCCCTCCAATTCCTCCACCTCTCCCAGCTTCATTTGGGTTCTCTGCAAGGCTGGCTTTTGTACCATCAGCAAAAATTGTAAATGGCAGACAGCTGGACTACATGTGTCTAACACCATCCCAGTTCTGGCTTATTGCTTAAGTGAAAGCAAATTTAGATTTTTCCCACAGCGCTTTGGTTAGGTAGAGCTCCTCTACTGGAGAAAACTGCTTTTGGTGCCATGTATGTAACCCTTAAGGATCATATCTTAAGGTCTCTTAAGGAACCAGGCTGTTCTGCAAATATAAGGGAGTCTTCTCTCTTTCTCTCTTTCCACTCCTTCATGAATGATAATTGAAAAGTAAGACTTAATTCTTAAAGGCAAACAGGATGCATGCTTTGTTATCAGTTGTTAGTCAAGCGGACTGAGAGACTGCCTACAGAGTATTTAGCTTTTGTGCTCTGAATCAGGATTAACAACTTTCTGTCTTTACAAATTAGAACTCCTGACCTCTCTGTTAATTTGGTCCTTACTGTATCAACTTGGAAATATTCCATGCTTCCCCTTCTGGAAGTGTTTAATCTGTTAAAATTATTACCTCACCTACATTTAGAAGCCTTCTTGGAAGGAGACCAAACCTGCAGGTCAAATAGAGAAATACTGAGCAAGCAGTGGGGCTGGGCTGAGGGCTGCTCAGGAACCCAAGGCAGAGCCATTGCCAGCAACTGCAACTGCCACAAACTTCTGTTTTGCCCTAAACAGTATGGGTTGGGGCAGGTTCTGCGGAGTCAGATCTGCCCTCTGCGCAGGCTGATGTACATGGACTTCCACGTGACTGTAGGCAGTCTTTGCTGCTTTTCCTCTGAGGATTAGGTGATCTGGGAAACAAAGGTCGTTTTGGTTTCTTACCCTGCTGTACCTCTAAGGTTCCCTAGGTAGAAAGCAGCAGGGGTTCTTGGTTTTGGAGTTGCAGCTTGTTGCAGGAGGTGTGGGAGGGGGCCCCATCTCTACTGTCTTGCAGACATTTTGCTATTCCCACCCATAATGTGCAAAAAGTGTAGGGATTTGGGTTGGGTTTTCTTTGTTTCCTTCCTGTTTTAATCTAAAATCCAACCAGTTTACAAGGAACAAAGCAGAAAGTCTCCCCAAGCACGGGTGTCTCCTGTGTGACAAGTAACTGCTTTTGCAAGTCCAAAAATAGCCCGTGTGCTCTGTGCATCAGGAACGTTCTTGGGAACGCTGCATGGATGCAGTGCACAGGGACACGCCAGGCATGGGGGTTTTGTAGCTGTGTCACCCCACCCCATGCCTGCTTCCTGAGCCTGCAAAAAGGAGAAAAATTTTGCATCAGGAAGACAGTAGAAAAAATGCAGGTTGGCTGGCAAGTTTTATGTGTGGGCTGGTCCCATCTCAAGAGAAAGCACTAGTGTGTTCTTGTCATACTGCACACTTAGCGAGTGTCTTTCGCAAATACCCCCGTGACCTATAAACAGACAGTAAAATTTGTGGGTGTGGATAGCTGACAAATTCTGAGGATTTAGGGCATGAACCCGCCAACCTTTATTCACTCTGATAATCCTAATCCATGCAAATTCCACCAAATTTGTTGTCACTGTTCAGCCTGAGTCAGAGTAAGGCCTTTCTGCAGGTCGCATTGTATTCCCCTGAAAACAGCTCGTGGTGCTTTTGTTTCCCTTTCACATAACTTCTGTGGCAAGCTGCCCGGCTCATTCACATCTCCCAGATTTGAAAATAATAAAATCCAACCATCTCCCCCGACTACTGAGCTCTTAGAAGGGAGGGGAGCTGTGATTTCAAGTGCCCTGGTCTGTCTGGGGGATTTTTTACAAGTCCTTGGGAGCCCAGCAGGACAACAGTCCTGGTGGTAAAGCCCCAGGCCCCTTTGCTGCTGTGAGCAGAAAGACGAAAGATAATATAATAATAAATAATAATAATAAAAAAATTAAAACCCGCACAACCTGGCTTTCGCAGTGACCGTGAGCACCCGAGGGTGGCAGGTTGGCCGTTGTTTTGCAGGGGGAGGGTGCGTGTGTTGTCAGGGGTGAGGCCGCGGTGATTCGCCCCGGGGCTCCGGTAGCTCACCCACGTCCTGCGTTTCGGTTCCCTTTCCCTGGGCTGGGAGCCCTGGGCCGTCCCTGTCACGGCGCGTTTAGCGGAGGGGCTGGAAACGGCCCCGCCAGCCACGCGCTCGTCG